ATCTTGACGGGTCGTAAAACGGCCAGTCATATAGTGTAGCCTCTTCACACTGGCTCACTAACAGAACCGAGATGGCGGCCATTCACCATCATCACGACGAAATGTTTAGAGGAATCTCGCCATATCACGTCATTAATACCTTAGCGTGGTTATTTATTACATTATTTAAGGTCTTCATGGCCTAAATATTCTCAAAACTGTATGTGTAGGCCGGGAGAGGAGGTTGGATGTGGTTGTTCCCAAAGCCAAGACGACCAAATTGAATAGTCTTGCCAACTTTTGGAGCAGAATGTGACCAAGATGACATGTGAAAATGGTCTGTTAATTTACGATATATGACTATCATTTTCTTCTTTTATCTGTTTAGAGAACCTTTCACTACGATTCCACATTGTGGACCGACACGAGGGACTATGATTCCTCTTCAGGGAATACCCTGTTTGATCATCAAGAGACAAAATTACCCACCTACTGGGGCACACCATTTTCTAAGATCTGCCTCGCTATGAAGATCGGCAGCCAAGTTAAATCGATCGTCATCTACAGACAGGCAAACTCCTTGTACTCCTTGATCGCTGACGGAGAATATCGTTCGACCTCATTGGGTCGTAATACGTGGAAAGAGCTGATTGGCATACAGGCTTCGCTGCAGAACAATTGTAACCGAGAGGGTTTCAATTCTGTGACATCATCAAGCAGGGCAAGAATTGGCATCATTAGTAACAACGAAAATGATTGCAAGACGTGCGACTCCAGAATTGGCTTTGGTACCGCAGGGCACCCTGATGATAGCAACACCTGTGGAAACGTAGCAAGGTATGGTGGGGACAATGGCGATAAGCACATAAAAGCCATGGGTTACATCTTGGTGCAATGAGAATCAAATAAGCTGGTTCCATTGCAGTTCACGTCGGATGATGATCAAATGGATTTTACAACGCTTATAGAAATTGTAGACTTACAGGCTTTCTTTAGGCCAGAACGATTTGAAGGAATTCAGTTGAATAAATGCATTGCTCAAAACAAACACTTTCTCTCTGTTCTCCTCTGTCGCTTCATCCATGGCCGCACGTACGGCGCACAATACAATAATATTTAACAATTATTCGTCGAAGGCTCAGTTAATATTGTTGAATAATTATTCAACAATATTAGGTGAATAATTGTTTTAGTGTATTTTAATACGAAATTATCTCAACAGAATCAGAAAGAAACCATTAAAAAAACGATTAGTTAAAATGATTGACGGGTGAATTCATGCTTGAACACGAAGCTGTAAACAGTGGATCCGCAAAAGTTAGATCTTTACAGTATCTTCAAACATGGCAAATGACAGTTTTAATCTTTTTGTATCGATTTTTGTAAGCTTTAGTATCAACGGTTTAAAAGAATTACTACCCAATTCTGAGAAGAAAAGTAGAGCTTTATTTGTTTCTCTCAACTCACCGTGAATGAGAAATTTTTTTTTGTCGCTTCTTCCAATGCTGTCAACAGCGACTACTATCAAGGTGAGCGTTGTTAATCTGAAAAAAAGTGTTCTTTGCCTTGTTAACTTGCTAGCACATAAAATTTTCGAAAATATTTGCCTTCCTTTCCTCTCCATAAATTAATTTCTATTTATAGGCCAAATTGGTCTTGTGAGAAAATCCCGAAATCACAAAACAGTGACAAAGCGGCCTCGTACGCGTTTTCCTCTGTAGTGGTAAACATAGCTTCGAGCGTACAAAAAGTCAGCTACAGTAAACCACTTTACAATGGGGGACTAGGACGAGTAAGGTGGCAGAAGGAGGTGTTTTGTCAGCTCCGTAATTCTTGTTAGCCTGGGAGGAATGTAGCGTCCTAAAAAATCACTTGAATCAGCGTGGAATGTCATCGCAGACCTACAAGCAGAATTTAAGTCATACGCAGACTTCAAGGAAACCTACCAATTGAAGTACTTTGGATAATGTGAAAAGTGAACTGGCAATGACTTCATCAAAGAATGCCAAGCTCGACACCGAAATTGACGCCTTGAAAGTAAGATTTTTGGAGGAGCAGTAGAAAGTAATTGCTCTTGAAAATTATTCCCGGCGGGAAAACCTACGTTTCATGAACCTACCAGAGCAAGAAGGTGAAAACTGTGCAAACATCATTAACGATATCATCGAAAACGAGGTAAACATAGATGTTTAGAATCTTCAATTCCATGCTATTCATAGAGTGGGAAAACGGCGTTCGTCGGACGAGACATCGAAAGCTTAATTATCCAAGGCCAATCATTGCACGCTTTCTGTTCAGAGAGGACAGAGGTATGGTACTAAAAGCGAATGTAAGGCTGCGAATCTCTTCGCAAGATGAAAACGTGTATATTACGCAAGACTATGCCAAAGCTATTCAAATGGAGAGAAACGTTTTCATCAAGGCTATGTTTCTGGCCCGCAAGAAAGGTATGAATGCAACGGTGGTAGACAGAAACTTGGTGGTAAATAACAATGTTTATAACCGGTCAGTGTAAAACGCAGACTGCGGACTGCAGACTGCAGACTGCGGACCAGGGGTAAAATGCAGACTGCAGACTAAGAGTAAAACGCAGGCTGGGGTAAAATGCAGAATAAAGACTGTAGACTTTTTTAAACATTTGTGCTCCTTCTTCAAATCGGTGAAATAGCTAGCCGGTATCAGTCACACACTTCGCTTCCTAGTCGCAGTGAATTGCACATTTGCCAGAAGTTTCAATGAACATCCAAACAGCTTAAGTCTGCGTACCTTGATTTGCAATACTTTCATAGAAGGTCATCCAAATTTCCTGCAGAACATCTTTCTTTGTTGTTGGAATGACTTACTCCCTTTTTTATCGCCATAATTCTTCCTGTACAGTATTTTGGGTCAGCAGCTTTGTACAGTACCGCAAATGATCCCCAACCGCAAATGATCCCGAGACCGCAAATGATCCCCAAAATGGACCGCAAATGATCCTCGACCGCAAGTGATCCCTAAAGTCGACCGCAAATGATCCCGTGAAAACTTGAGGAATGGAATGGATTTTATGGGACTGATTACAAAAAAGGACTGATTATAAAAAAGAATCCTTTTTCTCTCGCCTTTTAAAGAAAAAAGGGAAGGAGGACGCTACATCTCAGGTCAATTTATACAAGGTGAAAAAAAAATTGAATAAATCTGAAAAGTATGGTATTAACCGTATAAATCTTCCTTTGTCGATTGCTTCAATTTTTTGTGAAGAATGTTTCGTCTTTTGCAAAATTTAAGACAGGCAGGACGTTACGCCGAAAAAACTCTATTATTTTAACGCCTAGAAGCTCACCTTTTCTACTGAGGAATACAAAGCTGGGCACCCTCTACATAACAAGAGCTTTATTGACTTTACTGATCTTTTTGAAAGCGTGAAATTAATCAGCCAGAATATTTAATTTTGATTTTTCTCTTAAATGTTAATTTTACGTGATAAACAGCAAGACATTTGTTCGTAACTTAGGTGCCCGTTACGAAACAAGACATCAACATAAACACAAGACAAAATGCCCCCGAACTTATCAATGTCCACAGGTTTCGGTTTATTTCGAAATAGCAACTTTCTTACAGCTCATGAAAGTGTTGTGGATAGTTATATTGGCGCTTTTATGTATATTCATTTGTTGTGCCTTTGCTGAAGGCAGTTACCAGGAATCTAAACCTGGTAATGAGAAACACAAAGCCAGGTGAGCGGTAGTTATCGCGTGAGAAAACATCGTAGGAAACCGTCACATTCACGGACTAAAAGAAAATCGCTTATGATTATTCGGATCCAGCAGGCACTTTGGAGAAAATTAAACAACCTAAAACCCTTATTTAGCAGCAATGAAGAGCTGACTGCATTTCAAAAGAGGTCAAAGGAAATGCTCTTGCATCAAAGGGCAAATCATGCCGACCAGAAACAACAATAATCGCAGAAAATGCATGTCATGACCTCTCAGTATGAAATAAGCGGCAAAAATCACATTTGCTTTGAATGATTTTTTTCCATTTAGTTTTTAGTCATATATTTATTTGAGAAGTAAAATTTAGCTTTTAATCTGACTTACTGTAATAATAATAAAATCGACACGATGGTCCGATAACTTGAGTCCAGGTCATTCCTATTTTTCTTTCGGGATCATTTGCGGTCGACTTTGGGGATCACTTGCGGTCGAGAATCATTTGCGGTCCATTTTGGGGATCATTTGCGGTCTCGGGATCATTTGCGGTAGGGGATCATTTGCGGTACTGTACAGCTTTCATTTAAGCGTAAACATCGTGGTGTTGTACCAGTTCACGGTCCCTGGTCACGTATGTCGAAAACTTCGCATCAAAAGTTGAAGCGTGAAGTTTCTCGGATGGAAAAAAGGTTCAAGATTGCGATTATGTTTTCGGGTCGTCGACGACGTTCCAGAGAAGAAAGGAATGGATTTGTGAAAGCAGATGTCATCAAGTAAGTGTTCGTTTACATGTATTTGCGGGATTTTTTTGCCCTTAAACCCTTCCACGACTACAGTTTATGCTCGATCGGTCTGCATTTTACCCCAGCCTGCGTTTTACTCTTAGTCTGCAGTCTGCATTTTACCCCTGGTCCGCAATCTGCTGTCTGCAGTCCGCAGTCTGCGTTTTACACTGACCGGTTTAAAAGGTAGATAACATCCCGGATAATCTAAAGGAGTCTAACACCCTTAATTCGAATTCTAGCTGAACGATCTTTCTACGCTTTATTAGTTACACGTACAGGACGCAAACAAACTCCCCCAGCCTCGTACCCAGGCCAGTTCGCGCAATCCGAGTTACCGGAGGAGGCCTGGAACTGAGTGCGATAGCGCGAGGCCTGGCAAAATTGGGTAAAAAGTCCCAGATCGACGAGAAAAAGTCCCAAATAATTTCTCGACGAAAATCCTTTGCTTTCTGCGACGATCAAGGAATATTTCGGACTCATATGAGATTAATACATCTCTTCCGAGCATCTTTGGACCGTTTCAACTGTTAGAAACGAAATGAGGCGGGTATTTTTTCCCAACAACGCTGGTAAGTTAAGCATATTGTTTACATGTTCGCTACAAGAAGTTAAGCTAGAAAACAGTTTCTTCGTAGTTGGGCATGGGACGATCACTGTACACCGTATGTACACTAGTATCAAAGGCTTCATTTTCATTGAACAAAGTGGGCGTTGATTTCCTAGTTACAGGGCTATGGTGGGCTTATTTTGCCTATGTTGTTCGAATTGTTGGTAAGAAAAAATCACGAGAATCATTTACACGGTTTCGCGCGAAAAGCAAAAAAAAAAAACACTACATGCCATTTTCAGCTGTTTGAATATGCTTTTTGCTCTTTATAATAACCTAGTACCTTGAACTTGTACCTTGCGGCTCCCAGTTCATGTAGAACATTCTAATAGTCTATTTTGAAAATAGCACCAGTAACTCATGTAATATTCGGGTGTCTTAGTTTTACCTGATTTTTAATGATATGACTATCATTCAGTCCTTTATATGATTGCGACTTAGAGCGATTTTACTTGACCCATGAAACATTTAATGACAACTAGTGTAAAATATAGCTACAAATAAACAAAAGAAGACAATAAAATTAGTGCATAATAGTGCTTAGTATTCTACTTCCTGTTTCATGCATTAAGTAAAATCACTCTCAAGGAGGCTGCAATTTAGAGATGGGAAAATTTTGGATAGTTGACACTTAATATTAATTTATCTGCCTGACAGGCATTATTTCTGAGCAAGGTATTGTACAGTAAGTGTTTAGTTTTTTATTATATATTGTCTATTTTTTTTACCGTCCTTTACATTAATTTTCAAAGAGTTTTGAAGGGGATGAAAGGAGAGCATGTAATAGATGCCATTTTCAGCTGTTTGAATATGC